GTCTATAATGTTTTGACTTGCGAGACTTTTTGCAATATTTTGAAGGGTAATATTATTATTGAATGAAATTTAGGTTTATAAATGGTTTTTGTCATGATTAATAATTAGTCAGACTTACCGAAGTTGGTCCTGAGGTAGGCCGCTGCTAACCTGAGGATTGATATTTTATCTTGACGTCTAGAGCTACCAGCAACCACGGGTACCATGGCTGCCATCATGGCGATATTTGTGTTGAGGTTGTCCCGTCTCTGCTTCTCTGCCAGATTCCTAGATGCCCGGGCATTGCTGCAACAATATCAATTAACAAGTTCAATATTTACCCCACATTATTAATTATACCAACTCAATTTCCATAATATTTGCCAATAAATCCCCACTCAAGCTTTTATATCTGAAATTTGTCAATCCAGTTCTAATCCAGCTAAGTGGTAAAATGGCAAGTAGAATAATAATAATAATAATAATAACAATAATAATAATAATAATAATAATAATGTCTTTTTTAAGAGTTCGGCATCCGCCGATCAACCATGATCATATTTGGCAGTCGATCTACTCGTAAAATTAAATTCATCTGTGTGAATTTTATGGGGATATTGCTTGGTTGAATATTCAATATATGTTCGTCACGTGCTCTGGTGCTACAGTGACAGATTTCCGGGGGATCTTCCTGGGAAAACATTACGTGACACGTGTATTTGTTTTTAGAACCTTCGGGATAAGACTGAGAGGATAATTGAAATCACTAAATTGGATTTTTTATCAGACTGCCCAGAGATATCGAGGTTCATAGATAATGATACATCTGCATTGTTGGCGAATTACACTTGAAATTTTTCACAGCGACAACGTGACAAAAGATTTACCGTGGAAATTTGAAAGACTGTTCCTGATGGAATCAGCAAATTATGTGCAAATTTCGGTTTTATATAATTGTTATTTCAGAAAATAAAATACCGTAAATTACGAGTAATGCCATTGATATTTCCATTAGCCTGGGTATTTTATATTTTCACTTTTTCCCATTTTTCTACATCTAAAATTATAATTTTTATAGGTACTCCCACACACATCGATGCGTCATGAGGTCAATGTACAGAGCTTGAGGGGAAATGAAGAGACCTTTTGGAATATTATTGCGAATCTCAGTCCACAGGAGATTTTTTAAAGGGTTCATTGAAAATGTTCTGCTTTTACATAAACCGATTTTTCATGGGTATCGGGATCAAATCAATCGTGAATTACCTTGACGTCGTGCCTTTTAGAAGCTACAAATTTGACGGCAAACACCACACGACAAGAGAAACATGTAGTTGTTGCGAAATACATTTACGCTATGAAAATCAGTTTCATGAGGATATTTCTGAAGGTACTGATTGGCGGTTATTGTTATAATAATTGAATTACTCTTGTTCGCAAAACGCTAGTCAACTACTCCAGGAATTAATCAACTCATTTATGCGACCTAGAAATTGGATGTACATCCAACTAGAACATTCCATATTGAATTGTTTCCGTTCGATCTTTGCAAAAAAAAAAACTGTTATACATTTCCGGGGAAGCTTTTTTTTTATACTTAATATATTTTGAAAATAATTGGTACCATATTTCATCCAATCTTTTCCCACCAATTATTTAATTCTCATAAAGACGTTTCACGTAACAAAAGGAACGAGGAGACGTCAGAGAATTGAATTACTCTCTACGTGAGGTGTAATTTTCCTGAGGCATTGCGTACTTTGAGATAGCACCATTCCGCTGATTACTCCAGTCGAGCCCCAGGTCATACTACAATGTTTTATTTTCATAACATTCGTAGACGAAACCGATGCCAAAATAATGATCATAATGTTCTAAGCAAAAGTTTCGAGTAGCACTCACTGTGCATCTGGAATTTTGCCCATTAGCTAGACAATTTCCCTCCTATTTTCCCCTACTTGAGTTTCCACGTGAAATTGCATCGCATCACACTTGAATAAACGAAATTTCCGGTGGAATAACAAAATACCAGGACGGATCTCATCTCCTCATATTTTCTACGTGTTGTTCTTGGCTTTGTGTATATATACACTTTATCTTGGCGTGTCGCAACGTTTGCATCCCGAGAATTCAACGTAATGCCGGCAAACGTTGGATAGGTCGCGGTTATATTTCATTTCATTCTATACTGGTGGCAAGAATAAATTATTCAGTGAACACTTCGAGTTGTTTTTGGTGCAGTGTGAGAAAAAAAGAGTCTACCTCATTTTGTTTACAATCGATTGGATGGCAGACTCAAAAGATCAATCCAAATCGACCAATTCTGGTCACCAGAATTGATACTTTTATTTCACGCCATTTAATCATCGGAAAATAATCCTCAGTAAATCAGTTTGCATTTCAAAAAACATTTTTTAATAATTAGAATATATATATATATTTATCGATACATATATAAGGATATTGTGAAAACTAGTTAAATATATATATATTATAATTATTCGAAAAATCATATGCATACGATTATATGCAAACCGCAAGATATGTGGAAAGAGAAATTGAGGCAAGGTGCGACTATAACGGGATTCCGCTGTATAAATATTTTAAAGAATGTTAAATTCCATTTTTAATGTAAAAATTAAATTCTACTAGAACTCAATCTATTAGTTATATTATTTGATTATAGGATGCGAAACATGTCATGCTATCATAAATTTGAAAGAAATTGTGTCAAAGTTACGCTATGATAGTCAAATTAAATTGTTTCAACGAAGCTCCACCTATGGAATTCTGATACGTGGCTTTACAGCGAGGAATCCATGTAATTACTTTTTATCTGGGTGTACGTAACAATCGTACATAGGAAACGTAAATAATCCAAACCCAAGCATTCGATAAGCCAATTTCTCGCTGGCCTAGATCAAAACATGAAGGTATAGAGCCGCTTCCATGGATAATCTGATAAAATTTGATTCGAACATATCCATAAGACTGCTAGAGGGCCAAATCGTATCAAGGGCTTCAAATCTATTTTCATCATGTGTTAATACTTTAAACAATAAGGGATAAATCATTGGGATTGGGAGGGAATACAATTAATGAACATGCGCGTTTAATTGAATTGCAGGTGAAGTGAGATGATTGTTAGTTTATTTTTGCACGACTGTTCCAGGAAAAACTGTGGATAAGGGAGAGATTCAAATGTCATAGATGAGTCACGAATTAATTTATTGATTGATGCCTTGATTATAAATACCGGTGAAGGAAAGTGATGGATGAAAAAAATCAGATATTGGGAAGAATTTTCATTTAAATTGTGATAGTCGTAATTAGCAGTATCGAATGTCTTTCTCGAATCAAAGAATGAATATTTAAAATGATAAATGACTCGTTGAAAATCATTTAATTGTTGTCAAATTTACTGTCAGTTGATGCTTTTGAAAAGTTTTTTTTACTCTACAATTTTTAATAAAAATTGGGGAAGAATTACATAATGAAAAAAATTACATTTTTCGCTCAATTTTTACTCCAATTGTTTGCAAAAAAAATCGTGAATGGTCACACTGAAAATAATTTTGAATGACGCATTTTTTAAATGCTCAGGTTTCACTGAAATTATCGTAAATTCCGTTGAAGTTTCCGGATTATATTTTACCCCGTAACTTCTTGAATTATCTCATACTATTTACG